GCTGTTGTAGCGTACATAAAGGAAGTTCTATCCTTCTTTGACACCGATTGGCCGACTATGCCCAGGAGAAAGGCCTCTGGTTTCTTCAAGAAGGTATATTTAAATACCTTTTTCAATTCATTATATATCATCTCCCAGAAAGCCTTAATCCTTGGGCACGTCCACCAAAGGTGAAAAAATGTACCTTCAGTTTCTTTACATTTCCAACATTTATTATCGGGCAAATGATAGATTTTTGCAAGCTTGACTGGTGTCATGTACCACCTGTATATCATTTTCATAATATTCTCTCTTAGGGCATTACATGCTGTAAACTTCATACCTGTGGTCCATAACTGTTCCCAGTCAGCAAACATAATATTGTGTCCAATATCTTGTGCCCATTTAATCATAGCAGATTTCACCGTTTCATCCTGAGTATTCCATTTCAACAGCAAGTTATACATCCTTGACAAAATTATTATCACCTCTTGCTCCAGTTTTCCCAGCAATATTTGCCTTCAAATTATGGATTTTTTTTACAGTGACCTTTTAAACCATTTTTGTTAGTGTGAACACACACACACACACTCAAATCTGCTCTGAGGTTCTTCAGGACTTGTGCCCAAGTTTCGTTAGGGTTGCCATATTTCAAAAAGGTGTTGAGCTGCTGCTGCTTCTGCTGCTTCTTCTTCCTCTTCCTCTGCAAAATCTGAATAAACAAGGAATTTCGGCGATTTCTGCTCAGACACTGCTTCCAACTGCTGTTTTCCGGACATACTGCAACCCTACACAACATGCTCTATGGTCATTTCATACCCACTAGCTGCCTATCAGGATATTAAATAGAGCTGAATAATTTCGAAAGGTAGCTATGCCATACGTAGTGCAACCAGAAACATACTGATGCCAGGCATTTTATCGAATAGTCTTAGGAAATGCTTGTATCCAGTTAATTGAGGGCCACACCACATGGCGTCATGGCATTTAACCGAAAATGAGGAAAGAGCATTTGGGAGCAGATAAGTTGCACAGGACTGGGGATTCATTCAGCCCCAGCTTAATACAGTAGTACCTCGGGTTAAGAACTTAATTCATTCCGGAGGTCCGTTCTTAACCTGAAACTGTTCTTAACCTGAGATACCACTTTAGCTAATGGGGCCTCCTGCTGCCGCTGCGCCGCCGGAACACGGTTTCTGTTCTTATCCTGAAGCAAAGTTCTTAACCCGAGGTACTATTTCTGGGTTAGCGGAGTCTGTAACTTGAAGCGTCTGTAACCCGAGGTACCACAGTACCTTTCTGTGCCTGAAGAATTGAGTTTCAAATTGTGCTTTGCTTGTGCTTCAGAGATGCTGGCACATTGTGAGCCAGTGTGGTGTAACAGTTAGTGTGTTGGACTATGACCTGGGAGACCTGGGTTCGAATCCCCACTCAGCCATGAAGTTCGCTGGGTGACCTTGGGCCAGTCACCATCTCCTCAAAATTGCTTTTCCTGCTCAAGAAATGCATTGCACGTGTTTGCATCTCTTGTGTACTGCTTCTGGAGCCAGGGCAAGACGATCTTTGCAAAGGAATGCAATGAACAGCAAGTGTCAAAGTCCCTTCAGCAAAGTGTAATGAGAGAGCCTAACCCCACCCCCCTATGGACACGGGTGGCGCTGTGGATTAAAGCCTCAGCGCCTAGGACTTGCCGATCGAAAGGTCGGCGGTTCGAATCCCCGCGGCGGGGTGCGCTCCCGTCGTTCGGTCCCAGCGCCTGCCAACCTAGCAGTTCGAAAGCACCTTTGGGTGCAAGTAGATAAATAGGGACCGCTTACCAGCGGGAAGGTAAACGGCGTTCCGTGTGCTGCGCTGGCTCGCCAGATGCAGCTTGTCACGTTGGCCACGTGACCCGGAAGTGTCTGCGGACAGCGCTGGCTCCCGGCCTATAGAGTGAGATGAGCGCACAGCCCTAGAGTCTGGCAAGACTGGCCCAAACGGGCAGGGGTACCTTTACCTTTACCTTTAACCCCACCCCCACCCCGAAGGAAGGGACCTGGGCTGCAGAATGCTGTAAGAACACACAAGTGTCTTTATTTTCATTTGTATATCGTTGGGAGGCCATAGCTTTATTTAGTGTGCCATTTTGTTGCGCAGAATTGGTATTGTGAGCGGCTGCTCTGAATGTTTGGATCAGCAGCAAATGATGGTTTGTTTGGCCCATTTGTTAGGATCCAAAAGTGTGAAACTGAGAGTTCCTTGAGGTTATAGACTCTGGGGGGCTAAGAACACCAACCTTACAAATGCCAATCCTTATTAATCCTTTTATTCTTAAAATTAGCTACGATTCTCAACATTTGTTCATAACTGCAAAGGCTAATGTCACGGAATTGTGAAAACGTGTGTGGATCTGTGCACCGTACATGATCAATGTTTGCACTTATAAATAAGACTTAAATGAAATCACTGCAGCTTTAACTCACTTGACATTCCCCTGGAAAAACATTTGCTACAACATACCTCCAGGAATGAGTTGTTACTCGCAATGCTTTAAAAACCGCCTCTCTTTTTTTGCATAGAGTGCCAGAAATAGCTCTGATGGGAACGTGTTTGCTTCAAAAAGCCAGGTCATCATCAACAGTACTTTGGTTTATTTGCATAGTAGGTGTACAATTCTGTGTTTATGTGGGCGCATGCATTTATAGACCAAATTGTTTGCATTCCTTTCAGAGGTAATCGTGAGGCAGCGTGCTTTCACAGCAGCGGGCAAGCTTGTAAAAAATTAGTAATTATTTCTTAAAAGAAAATATTCTGAAGCTGAGTGTGCAGAGTGAAGTGGGATTTGAGCAAAAAAATGCAGAGGGCATCATGGCTCGGCTTATATCAATGGGCGTCTTTCTCATTGGCTTTTCAACGACGTCAGTTTGCCAACATATTTGTCTGGCGGAGTGCCACTGCCTTTAACAGCTGCGTAACAGGATGTAGCAGGCTGACCGTGTCATAGAACTACAGTATTGACAGAAGCTGTATCTGGGGAAAAAAAAAATTTTTTTTTACACCACTATCTATATTAGGAAAATGTTTTCAGTCTGCTGTTCAGTCTATCACTCCTGCTAAAAACGAACTTGGGAAAGGAGGTCCAATCAGACTGGGAGTCAGAATGGGGAGGCAGATTTGTCTGATCAGAGAAAGCTTGATGCTGAGATTGCTGAGATGACGCTTGGAGTGAATTGACAGGACAGCCAGGTCAAGCCTCAGGAGTATGGGAATGACCGCTCCCCGCATAAAACTGGGGCGCCCTTTGCGTGGACGCGTGCAGCCCCTGGATCTGGAGCGGCTCCATCAGCATAGGCTTGGCTTTGCCTTCCCTCAGGTGGGATACCGGGAGGTCTCCGCCTACCCCAGTCAGTTTTCCAATCCCACCTGGGGGAAGCGTTGCCGAGGAGACCAGGCCAGGTAGGGGGAGGGATTACCTGCCCACACAATAGAGGGAGGATCTTACCTGGAAATCCTCACTTGGCTCCAGAGCTTCTCCCACCCTACCCACCCTAAGTTAATGTCTTATTTTGCAGGTTAACTTTTCTTCACAGGTTTTGCAGGTTAACTTTTCTTACAGGTATGTGGGCGCTGCTACGTTAAGGTCGCTGTTAAAGGTCCGGAAAGGAATTTCCCTGCATTGGCAGGTTTCGCCTTTCCCGTAGCAAAACGTCACAACTTTGGCGGTATCAGGCCTTGGGCGGAATCCTTTAGTCCATCTTCCTCTTTGCGGCGGCGATACCAGGGTTCCCCGTTAAAGGGGTTTCTGAAGGGAGGCTTTGACCGTACGCCGAAAGGACGTCATTGCTCTCCCCTGCGGCGGCGGCGTAACGGGGGCGGCTATCTCTGCTTGAACATATGTTCTCCAGAGCCGGCCCATCCCCCACACAAACACTGGATAACCCTGATGCTCCCTAGGTCCCCGGCTGGGGACTGGGGAGGGAGAACGCCCAATGCCTGAGCCAAGGTCTACCCACATTTGAAATTTAATAAAGTTGTGGCCAATTTAATCCCATAGCACGTTGTCTTGAGTCGTTATTCCACATGATGGGGGGGCGCTCGGGACCTGGGGACTCCACCTGTCCATGCAATGCATACCTTTTGGCCTAATTTTACCTAATTTTATTGCATTTTTTTTTTGGCCATTTTTAGATCAGTTCTTCTTCATTCAATAAAGTTGTGGCTATTTTAGTGCCCCGATCTCCTCATTGCCCTCACAACTGTGCAATCTGATTGCTAACTGTTTCTGATCTGCGTCTATGCCTGAGAATTACAGATTTGGTTGGTTCACTTTCAGATGCAGACTGAAGAACGTTCTTCTCCATTCCTAGATTTGAATCCAGGTCTCAGAGGCAGACTACAGTGGTATCTCGGGTTACATATGCTTCAGGTTACAGACTCCGCTAACCCAGAAATAGTACCTCCGGTTAAGAACTTTGCTTCAGGATGAGAACAGAAATCATGCAGCGGCAGTGGGAGGCCCCATTAGCTAAAGTAGTACCTCAGGTTAAGAACAGTTTCAGGTTAAGAATGGACCTCCGGAACGAATTAAGTACTTAACCTGAGGTACCACTGTACATCACACTTGCTCCAAAACTCCTGCATTCAGCTGCCAACAGCACCTAGCATAGCATACATAAAAACCTTGTTTTGGCTCTATGAAATGTATACCTCAGAAATCATCTATTCTAATCCCTCTGACCTTAATGACCTTAATCTTACATTGATGGTGACGGTATCTTGGCTCTACAACATACAATATAATAAATGAGCTTGCTTAGTCAAATGTCTGTTCTTTCTCCTTCCACACAAGATCTGTTTATATTTGGAGTGAAGCCCTCCTCGATCTTGCTGTTATCTAAATGATCCCAGATAAAATACCTTTGAAAAACAGGTTTTGCTTTAGACATGGAGCTGGGCGTGGATTATGAAAATGTCACTGCAGGATAGGCAAATGTTTGTCTTTCACCCTTTTGCTTGCTTCGTTTAGGAGCAGCAAGACAAAAAGGCTTCAAGTATTTTAAAGGCTGCAAGAGATATCACTTTGACTTGGGAAACTTACTGGCTGGATTTCTGTCTGTATAAAAGTCTTTGGAAATGTCACCCGGGCATCAAACTCCAATAGGTAAAGGTCTTTATTTTGGATTCTGTGTTTTATTCCCCACCCCACACACTATGGCTGTGATTGTGTGAGTGAAGAACACTTGTAAAAATGATTGGGTCTCGATGTGATCTTGTCCGGCTTCAGAATTACCAACATCTCAAACTTAAATTAAAATTTGATGGACAGTAAAACTGGGGAAAACAAGTGAAAGTTTAAATGTATGGGTATGACTGTTTTCTTGGGTGCTGTATTACCTCTCTAAACAGTGAAAATTAGGACATCTATTATGTTGATCCTGTATCAGAAAACCTTGGCTGAAGCACAGCGGAACCTTTTATTGGGGATTATCCTATACAATTCTGTTCATTCAGGAGAAACTCCCATTGAAAACAGCAGGATTTACTTGGTTCAGGTCAAGCTGCAGGAGTCATTCGGATGCTCTTGTAATATCCTCTTTACCGGTTGTGTAATTGTGGTTCAAGAATGAAATTTCCACATAGCAGGTGGCAATCTCTCTCAGAAGAAGTGTGTGGTTCATCGTTTGAGGTAGCTGGGATGTTATTCCTTGTTCTCCAGGCAGCTGTTGGTGTGCTGCTTTCTCTGCTTCCAGGAATACAGTGGTACCTCGGGTTACAGACGCTTCAGGTTACAGATGCTTCAGGTTACAGACTCCGCTAATCCAGAAATAGTACCTTGGGTTAAGAACTTTGTTTCAGGATGAGAACAGAAATCACGCGGTGGCAGCGGGAGGCCCCATTAGCTAAAGTGGTGCTTCAGGTTAAGAACAGTTTCAGGTTAAGAACTGACCTCCACAATGAATTAAGTTCTTAACCCGAGGTACCACTGTACTCTGATTGTGATCATTCGGGATGATCTTTTCATAATGATCAGGTATAAAAAGGTAAAGGGACCCCTGAGCATTAGGTCCAGTCGCGGACGACTCTGGGGTTGCGGCGCTCATCTCGCTTTATTGGCCGAGGGAGCCGGCGTACAGCTTCCGGGTCATGTGGCCAGCATGACTAAGCCGCTTCTGGCGAACCAGAGCAGCGCACGGAAACACCGTTTACCTTCCCGCCGGAGTGGTACCTATTTATTTACTTGCACTTTGACGTGCTTTCGAACTGCTAGGTTGGCAGGCGTAGGGACCGAGCAACGGGAGCTCACCCTGTTATGGGGATTTGAACTGCCAACCTTCTGATTGGCAAGTCCTAGGCTCTGTGGTTTAACCCACTGCGCCACCTGCGTCCCATATCATGGCAGAGGGTTTTCCCATGCAACATTTTAGGCTTTAATGAACCTCTGGTTTGTTTGGTACACATGTTTTGTGTACATGCAGAGCAGGTGCAGCCTTCCATATGTTGCGGAACTACAACTTCCATCAGTCCCAGCAACCATGGCTGATGATCAGGGATGATGGGAGTTGTAGTGCAACAACACCTGGAGAGCCACATATTCCCCATGCCTGATGTGCTTTCCTGTGTTAGATATTATACTGGGTATGCAATGAGGAGGCACTCTGGCTGCTCCTCTCTTTCACTTCCAAAATGACTGACAACTGGCTGTTGGGCACTTGGAAAGTGCTGCACACTGCTCTTTGACAGGTTAAAGTCACATGACATCATTATAGTGAATGATTGGCAGGTGGAGGTCCCACCCACCTGTCAAAGTTGGTTGAGTGAAGATAAAGATCTGGCCCACTAGGTCAGATTTTACGTTTTTATTGCTGTAAACAGCTTCGATATATGTTTTATGAAACACGTTGTTGTTGTTTAGTCGTTTAGTCGTGTCCGACTCTTCATGACCCCCTGGACCAGAGCACGCCAGGCACTCCTGTCTTCCACTGCCTCCCGCAGTTTGGTCAAACTCATGCTGGTAGCTTCGAGAACACTGTCCAGCCATCTCGTCCTCTGTCGTCCCCTTCTCCTTGTGCCCTCCATCTTTCCCAACATCAGGGTCTTTTCCAGGGAGTCTTCTCTTCTCATGAGGTGGCCAAAGTATTGGAGCCTTAGCTTCAGGATCTGTGCTTCCAGTGAGCACTCAGGGCTGATTTCCTTAAGAATGGATAGGTTTGATCTTCTTGCAGTCCCTGGGACTCTCAAGAGTCTCCTCCAGCACCATAATTCAAAAGCATCAATTCTTCAGTGACCAGCCTTCTTTATGGTCCAGCTCTCACTTCCATACATCACTACTGGGAAAACCATAGCTTTAACTATACGGACCTTACACAGTGGTAAACAAATACTTTTTTGAATGAACGAATGAATCAAAAGTTTCCCTGCCCCTGCTCTGTCACTCTGCTCATCCCAGATTTGTTTTACCAATTTTTCAGAACCATAGTAACAAAGAAACAGCTTGTGTTCCCTTGATCGCTTTATTGTCATTTAACTTTTTTAATTTTTATTTTTATTTTCATTTTTAATATAGAAACAAAGAACACACGTCCCACACCCCCTTCTCTCCACCCACCAGTTATACAACTTTCATACCAATCACGACATACAGCTAAATCCCAAGTGACTCCCCTTCCACCCTTTTCCTGGTTTCTTTACTTTTCTACTAAATCACGTATTTCAAATTTTTAGTCTTCAAATTTCTTCCTCTATTAGCTCCTGTTCTGCTGGATTTACTCAACACCTGTGAGATTAATTACTTATTTATACTGGTTCTTAAAATATCCAATAAACATTTTCCAATCCTCCTTATATTCTTTATCACCCTTTTCTCTTATCCTATTCATTATACCTGCCAATTCAGCATTCCCAAGCATTTTAATATGGTCACTCTTCCTTGGTGGGTACCATACTTGTTTCTCACCTTTGTGCCAATAAGATTCTAGCCACAGTGGTGGCATATAATACTAATTGCTTTTGTTTTTAGGGACTTCTGTTGTTACCATTCCCAAGAGGAATGTCTCAGACTTTTTTGGGAAGTTTTTTTTTTTTAATATCCTTTTTAATTCATTGTAAATCGCTTCCCAGAATTCCCTGATTACTTTATTGGACCACCACATGTAGGGGGGGGGGGAAATCCATCTTTTCCAACAATTGCCTTTTTCTTTTTTAAACATTTTCGCTAGTTTGGCAGGTGTTAAGTACCATCTGTGGGTCATTTTCATCATATTTTCTTTTAATGCATAACACGCCATAAAATTCATATTTACTGTCCATAAATTCTCCCATAGCTCATAATTAATATTATGACCCACATCCTGTGCCTACTTAATCATACAGTACTTGATTTCACAATTCCTCTTTTGTTTCCCACTCTAGCAGCAGTTTGTACATTTTTGATAATACTTTTACTTTTGCATCTAATAAATCCCTTGTAAATTAGGATTTTTGTTCTGCAAATCCAATTTTTTTATCTATTTTAAACCGTTTGTTAATCTGATGTATCTGTAACCAATCCATTAATATATATTTTTAATTCCTCAGGATTTTTCAACTTTAGTTCCTGTCCTGTAAGATCTAGAATTTCTTTATATGTTAACCACTGTTTATCCATATTTGTTCTTTTCCTTGCAGTGGCTTCAGCCAGGGATATCCACATTGGTGTTTTCTTTTCTAATAGATTTTTGTACTTTCCCCCTACTATGTATATATATTTTTCTGATCACATGTTTTGTAAAGTTTTATAAATTTTTGCCTTCCCATACCATAGGCAGGCATGCCACCCAAATTGTATATCATATCCTTCCAAATTTAACACTCTGATATTTTCCAACAATATCCAATATTCTATCCACCATAAACATGATACCTCAAAGTAGATTTGGAAGTCTGGTAGAGTGAGGCCTCTTCTTTTTTAATATATCAATCATGACTTTGTGTTTTATTCTGGGCTTCCAGAATAAATGCCAGATAAACCTTGATATATTTTTCTGCCACGCTTTGTAGCATCGAGTGTTGTTAATTATTGGGTTATTTTGAAATAAGAATAACATTTTTGAAAGGACATTCATTTTAATAGCCGAAATCCTGCCCAGTAACAATAATTTCATTCTTTTCCATATTTCTCTTTATCTCTTTTCAAACCTTTACGTAATTAACTTGGCAAATATTATAGCTGTTTGTTGTTAACCAGATCCCCAGATATTTAATTTTTTTCCTCTACTTTCCACCCACACATGGTTTCTAGATCCTTGTTTTGCTTGGTTGTCCATATTTTTAACCATCATTTTTCCTTTATTTAATTTGAAATCAGCCAGTTTTCCAAATCTGTCTATCTTTTCTATCACTTCCAGTATGCTCTCTCTTGCTTGTTCTAAAGTTAATATTGTCATCCGTGAATGCTTTCAATTTATAGTTTTGCTGTCCCACTTTTATTCCTTGTATTCTATTGTTTTTCCTGATATTTTCCGCTAGTACTTCTAATATTAATATAAATAACAGCAGAGACAATGGACAGCCCTACCTCATCCCTTTGTGTGGCATACATTTTTCTGAAATATTAGTTACTATAATATTGGCTGTTTAATCTTTATAAACTGATTTTATGCCCAAATCTCAACTTTTCCAGTAACTTTGACATAGATAGCCATGAGACGTTATCAAAGGCCTTTTCGGCATCCACAAATATTATTGCCACCTGCTTTCCATTATGAACACAAAACATTTATGACTTTCCTAACATTTTCTTTCATTTGTCTCCCAGGAAGAAAACCCACCTGGTCTTCATGTATCAAATTTCTTAGAGTCATTTTCAATCTATTTGCCAATATCAACGTAAAAAGCTTGTAATCGTTATTTAATAATGATATTGGTCAATAATCTTTAAGTTCCATTAGGTCTTTATCATATTATGGTATCACAGTAATATATGCTTCTTTCTAGGACTCTGGCATCCTTCCTGTCTCCAATACCTTTGATTTGTTTTACCATGTTTTCAGCACCATAGCAACAAAGAAACAGCTTGTGTTCCCTTGATCACTTTATTGTCATTTTATTTTAACCCCTTTGGCTCTGCTGTGCAAGTTGAAGTCAGAGTAGTGAAATCGCAGCTAAGAAGCTAAAATCGTATAT